GCCTCAGCATAGGTGTGAGGGGTCGGGATGTCAAAGGTTTCTGGGTCACCCTCAGGGAATAGCAGCATGGAACAGAGATGGGGACAGCCTCAGACAGAAAAGCAAGCTCGTACTGCCTGACCTCTAGGACGTCACTGCCAAGGGCAGACGCACCCTCGACGGACGGAGGACAGACAGGGTCAGAGACCAGAGCGGTGGCGTAGTCAAGGCGGTGGGTAGAGGCGAAGTCAGCGACAACAGCATCAAGAGCGTCAAGACTGGAGACAGGAACAGACGGGTCGGTAACGAGGTAGGCAAGTACCCGAGGAACAAGAGGACGAGCAGCACGAAGGTAGTCAGACAGTAGGGGAGGCGCAACAACGAGCGATGACGGAGGAGGTGACGGCAGGAGGGGAGAACGAGACGCGTGGGAACGAAGCAACATAGGGTGAGAATGCTGAACAGGAGAGACAGGACGAGCACAAGAGGGACGGCGAGACCAGACGTGAGACAGAGCCGTCTGGTCAGGAGACAGGGGAGGAGACACAAGAGGGGAACGAGTGGGGAGACGAGCCGGAGACGAGTCCGGCGGAGGGAACACAGGGCCGTAGACAGGAAGAGGAGGAGGGGCCGGGGGAGGCGCAAGCGAGCGGTCAGGGGAGGGAAGGTCGAGCAGGTGAAGGGCGGACACCAGCGGCAACTGCTGCTGCTGCTGCTCTGCGCCAACACCTGGACCTCCAGCTACACCACGGCTACCACCGGAACACTCCACGCCAGCACCCCCAGAACGAGCACCCCCAAAGCGAGAACTCTCTCCAGCACCGGTGCCATCCCCAAGCCTGCCGGGAGAAGCCACAACAGGAACCCAAGGACTAGCACCCCCAGAGGCCACAGACGGCTGCTGCTGCTGCGGCAGCGGCGGCTGCTGCGGCGGCGATGGCAGCGGCTGCTGCTGGTGCGGCTGCGGCTGCGGCTGTTGCTGCAGCGGCGATAGCGGCAAGTGCTGCGACGGCGGAGGAGGAGACACCGGGGGAGCGGCAGGCGGCAAAAACTGCGCCGCGGTGCCACCATAGTTAGGTGACTCCTGGACCGGGACAACCGACGGGAGGGGAGTAAGGTGAGACACACGAGACTGAGCAGAATGGGGAGGGAGGTGAGAAGGGGCTACTGGGGGAGTGGGAATCAGGAACAAGGGAGGGGAAACCAGGAGACCTCGATGGGGAAAGTGGTGGTAAAAGGAGACAGTTTCGTCAAAAGTAGCGTCATGGGAGTGAAAGAAGCGGTGAGACGGCGGGTGGTAAAAGTGGCAGTCACACGAGTCAAGGGGGAAACCGAGGGAGACACAGGGGACAGTGTGGGCAGTGAGCTTGTCCATGCCAGAGGCATGAACGTGAGCGAGGCAGCCCCAGACGTGGAACACAGACGCGTCACCAGGGAACCCGGTCCAAAGAAGGGTCGGCGAAACTTGCGGCCGCTGGGAGCGCGGCCACAATTTAAGCTGGTGAACGGCGTAGCGAACAGCGAACGGCCACAGAAAATGAGGTGCACCGGCATGGATCATGGAGGTACGAGCCACCTCCATGACCAAACCGGTGCGTCGCTCAGCAGCCCCATTCTACGACTAGGTGATGCCCTCCGCACGACCGAACTGTCCAAGCCGACCAGAGGCGAACTCGCCACCACGGTCAGAGTGGAGGCACAGCACAGGGAGACCGTGGTAGAGGCGCGCAGCTATTACCCACTAGATAAGAACGTCAGGCACATCCGCCTTCCGCTCTAGTGGAAACACCGTGGTGTAGCGGGTCAAGTCGTCGACGAGCACGAAAAAGTAGCACTCGCAACGCGGTCCAGAGACGAGGGCTGGGCCCAAGAAGTCTAAGTGCAGGGTCTGGAGGGGTGCAGTGGCAGGGCAAAGCGAGGAAGAGTGAGGAGCATGGCGCATCCGGCCTTCGACGCAGGGTGTGCATGACAGCGCAGGTGAGACCTAGGACGAGACCGTGCTGAGACATGTGACGCAGACGCGAGAAAGCGTGGTGACCTAGGCGGTGGTGCCACAGAAGCAACGGGTGAGTGAGCGACCAACACCAGCAAGTCGCAGCAACCTGGGTAGATGCAGGACCCGGACAGGACGAGACGGCCGGGGGGGAAGCAATGCCCAGCGTAAACATGCGAGATACCGGGTCCTGGGGTCAGCTGAGGCGGAGGCAGGGGTGGAGTAGCACGCAACTACTGCATCTAGGAAGTCCTTGGCGTTTGCAACAGCAGTGAAGCACGGATGCTCAGATAGGGGAAGCGCATGACTAATGGCGAGCTGCGCTACAACATCGCGAGAATCCCAGACAGTGCGAGCGAGCACAGCAGCAGCAGCAAAGGCCTCACTCTCGGCAGTGGTGGGGTCAGCAGGGAGGGGATCAGGCGTAGAGGGGCAAGGAAGCAAGCCAGGGAGTGCCCATCCTGGCGCTGACCTGTCAGGTGCCGGCGAAGTCAATCGCGTGCCCCTCCGTGTCCAGGTGAAGTACGGTGTCCGCTATCGTGCCAACCTCAGCGGCACAGGTCCACAGCAGCACAGCGTCACGGCGGCACAGCATCACGGCGGCACGGGGACACGGCGGCACAGCGGCACAGGTACCCAGCGGCACGGCGGCACAGCGGCGTGGCGGCAGGGCTCGCCGGCGGGAACACCAGGCGGGAGGCCGAGGAGGGCCTGAGGCGCTCAGGGCCCGAGGTGCCAGAGCCGGCAGGGCGCAAAGGGCCAGGGGAGCGCTGGGGCCAGGTGACGCGTGAGGGCCAGTGGGCGCTCGAGGAGCTGACGGGGCATCTAGGGCCGGCAAGTTACAGAAGGGGCCGGGGAGGTACGCGAGGGGCTGTCGGGCGCACGAGGGGCCGGTGAGCGCGAAGGGCCAGCTAGGCGCGATGGGCCGGGGAGAACGCAAGGAGCCGGCTAGGCGCGAGGGGCCGGCTAGGCGAGAGGGGCCGGCTAGGCGTGGGGGGGGGGGGGGCAGCTAGGCGCGAGGGGCCGGCTGGGCGCGAGGGGCCGGCTAGGCACGAGGGCCGGCGGGCGCCAAGGGGCCGGCACGGTAGGCTAGGGGCCGGCGGGGTACGTGAGGGCCAGCGCGGGTGCGAGAGGGGCCGGCAGTATGCGAGGGGGAGGGCTGGCTAGGCGCGAGGGGCCGGCGGGCGCTAAGGGGCCGGCATGATGAGCTAGGGCCAGCGGGACGCTAGGGGCCGGCGGTACGCTAAGGAGGGGGGGGTGGGGAACGGTATGCTAGGGCGAGGGGCGGAAGGGGGCGGGCGGACCTAACCTACTATGATACCATGTCAGAATACGCGAATGACTAGAAACAAGGGTGAACAAGGGAGATATAGGGTTGGAGTTGTACCCTCTAAGAACATACACCTATCTAGTCTATAACTTCTACATACAAATATATGTATAAGTTGACAATGCCTTGGTTGGGGATGTTTTGTGAAGTGTAAGTCTGGGGAGAACCAAGTGCAAACACCTGTTTGCCTTTGTTTTTTGTCTGCCTTCTGGCGGGTCTTCTCTTTTCTTACTGCTTTTTTCTCATGCTTTGGTTTGAATATGGTGTCTTTGTAGTGCTGAAGATTCGTTACCTTGATGTAAAGTGCCTTCTTCATCCTCTGTAAACTGACGTAAGCCTGGAAACCTCTGTAAGAGGAGCAGGTTGTTACTGTATGAACTCCCCTCAAACCTTCGGAAAATCCATAGCTGGTGAGGGCGTGTCCAGCGCGTTCTAATACTATTCGCGTGTCAAGCAACAAGTACAAGATTCAGAAATGGTAACCCGAAAATCCGCGTCTTTTAGGCATGCGCAAAAAGTGCGTGTTTTTACCGGGTGCTCTCGAAGCGTGCCAGCAGTCTTGTTCCGCACGTTTTGAAAGCGGCTTAAAATCATACCCAGCTTCAGAAACGACAAATTCTGGCTGGCGAAGAGAAACCACACCACTTCGTCATTTTCGTGCAACTTCTTTAATGTCATGCCAAATTTAGGGAGGCTTCTTTTTCCAAGCTCGTAATAACGTAATTGTGCGTATTTCGCGAAGCGTTTTTGTTTTCGTTGCGCAGAGCATTTGTCGTGTCAAAGGCAAAACACAAGGCCGAGTCAAGCATTCTCGCTGCAGTCGAAAGGTGTTATGATATAGGAAGTGTCAATGTACTATAACGTGAGAATGCAAGGTCGCTATTGCAATGAAGGCACGAGATTATATAGCGGTTGGCGTGCTAGGGCGATAACCTCAGTACGTGGGTAGGTTTGGCAAAGTGACGACAGTGCTGGACGCGACTCGGGAAAGGGTTGGGCCGATAATTGAGGCCGAACGTGACGAGTCAAGGAGTTCGGGTGTGCGTGCTAGCGTACAACTCAGTAAGGAATGGAAATTCCTTACACTACCCCCCCTCCTAAACGAGACCGCGGGCATCGGAAACATTCCGACGCTGATAATACGCTGTTAGAAATGGGTGTGATTCTAGCTCAGCGAGCGGCACCCAGCTGTCATCTTCTGACATGCGATCGCGCCAGCGGACGAGAAAATCAACCATCCCACGGTTCAGCTGCGTCGTAACTCGATGGCCTATGATTTTAAAGGGCACGGTTGTCGGTTCCTACAGAGGCGTCAGCTGCGGTACACCGCGTTGGCGCGCCAAGTCCAACGAACTGGGGACGTAGGGCCGTAAAAGGCTGACGTGGAAAGCCGGGTGGTGACGCCAATCAGCCAGGAGGCGTAGGTGAGCAGTGACAGGTGTCACCATATTTGTTACTTGAAAAGGCCCACAGAATCTGGATCGGAGCTTGCTCGAGATCGGCAGCCGCAAATTGCGAGTGTCGAGGAGGACGAGATCTCCCACTTTGTAAGTGACGTCACGTCGATGGCGATCTGCTTGTCGGCTTGCGACCAGGCTGGATTTCCTGATTGCCTCAGCTGCTTTTTCTCGGGCGGCGAGAATGTCTTCAGCAAATTTCTGGGACCGGGGCACTGGTGTCTCGATGTTCGGAGTAGCGGGGACCACTGGGTCATGTACGTGGTTTAGGAAGAATGGGGACTGGTGGGTTGTGGCGGAGGGCGCGTTATTGTACGCGAATTCCAGCAGCGGAAGGGATTTCTCCCATGTCTGTGGGTCAGTACAGGTAGTTCGAATGAGTTGCTCCATTGTTTGGTTGACTCGTTCGGTCTGCCTGTCGGTCTATGGGTGGTAGGCAGAGGAAAACTGTAGTTTGGTGCCGGACTGGTCCCACAGGTGGCGCCAGAAATTCGATGTGAATTTCGGGTCTCGGTCTGAAATAATTGCGGTAGGCAGTCCGTGCAGTCGGATGACGTTGGCGATGAACAGTTGAGCAGTTTGCTCGGCTGTAATTGTCTGTTGGCAAGCGATGAAGTGCGCCATTTTCGGAAGTCGGTCAACGACCACGAGGATGGCGTCGTTTCTGCTGGGACGCTGGCTGGCACTACTGTCACGTAGTCCATCGTGATGTGTTGCCAGGGTCGCTCGGGCGGATCCAACGGCTGTAGTAGTCCGGCTGCTTGCTGATGAGAGGATTTCATGATCTGGCATGCGGTGCAGGAGGACACGTACTTGTGCACGTCGTCAGCCATGTTCGGCCAATAACGTTGCGTTGCAACGTCTTCATAGTTTTGTCGACTCCGAAATGCCCGGAAGTAGGGTTGTCGTGGGATTCATGTATTAAAAGGGTACGAAGTAAATCGTAGCCGGGCACCCAGATGCGGGAAGTATCGCGCTTATTAGAATAGTGTCCGGTGGCAGTGGTATGCTGTTGATGAATAGCAGAGCGGAAGAAAGGGTCGATCTTGTAGCTGTGGGTAAATAGTCAGGTAAGTAGTGGGCTGGTCTGGGCGACTAGTATGGCGGCGGTATGGGCAGTGGGTCGAGTCAGGGCATCGGCAATATTGTTGGCACCCCGTTTGTAGGTGATGGTGTAATGGAGATTCGACTCGAGGAAATCGAGCCATCGGATCTGTCGCGGGTTGAGATTCGGTTGGGCACGCAGGTACTGTAAGGATCTGTGGTCAGTTCGCACCGTGACGTCAGCGCCTGTCGGGTAGCACCGCCAGGTCTTGAACGCGTGGACGATCGCTAGCATTTCCTTGTCGTGGACTGTGTAGTTTGTTTCCGCGCCCTGCAGCTTCCGTGATTCGTAGGCGACCGGCTGTAATCCGTCGCCGAAATCCTGTAGGAGGACTGCTCCGATGGCGATGTCGCTGGCGTCGGAGATGAATTCGTATGGACGGTCGGGATCGGAGATGCGAAGAACGGGCGACGACGTGAGGGCGATCTTCAGTTGGTTGAATGCAGCTTGCTGCTTCTCTCCCCACCAAAAACAATCGTGATCCTTGAGTCGGTCAGTTGGCGAGGCAGATAACCCAGCCATATTCGGGATAAATCGGCGCACGTAGTTGACGAAACCCAAAAAACTCTGCAGCTTCTTTATGTTGGTTGGCGGCTTCCACTCCTGTATGGTCTTGATTTTTTTGGGGTCGATTTTCACTCCTTCGGTAGAGACGACGTGGCAAAAAAACTCCAACTCCTGCTTAAGAAAGTCGCACTTATACCCTTTTGTGATGAGGCGATTCTTGTGCAGCAGCGTGAAGACTGCATCAAGATCTCGTAAGTGCTGCTCCCTGCTGCAGCGGTAGATTAGTATGTCGTCGACGTAGATAATAACGCATTTATCCAAGAGTTCCCTGAAAATGCCGTTCATGGTCATCTGAAATGTCGAGGGCGCGTTCGTGAGGCCAAAAGGCATCACCAAGTATTCGTAGCTGCCGTAGCGGGTGCGAAAAGAGGTTTTGTGGCAATCTTCGGCGGCGCCGCGAATTTGATGGTAACCTCATCGCAAGTTGATTTTCGAGAAGAACTTTGCTCCGCGAAGTTGGACGAGTAGTTCGTCAGCTCGCGGGATCGGGTAACGCGACTTGATTGTGATCCTGTTGAGCGCGCGGTAGTCGATGCACATGCGGAATCCTCAATCTTTTTTTGGTGTGAACAGTATCGGGCGGCGTATGGGGACTTGTTGGGCCGAATAAATCCCTTTGTCATAAGGTAATCCAGCTGCTGCTGCAATTCTTCCATTTCGGGTTGGCTGGGCCGAAATTGTCGCTGTACTGTCGGTTGGGCGCCCGGTTCCAGCTCGATTCGATGGTCTTCTGGTCTGCTCGGCGGAAGTCCCGCGGGCAGGTCGTCTGGGAAAATCTCGGGGTATTTTCGAATCAGGTTCGCCAAATCCGGAGGAACGGCTTCGCACAGCTTCGTGATATCTTCTGCTGTTGTCGGCGACGTCACCTCGCGAAGATCAACGGCGTACGCTGCAGCTCCCGCTTGTATCGCGCATTTGAAAGTTATCGCATGGACTTGGGTACTTCGCATGCGAGGTCCCGTCCACTTCGGTAGTTCGTGGGGGATCCCATCGAGTTTTATGCTGCAGCCGCCTGTCGTCCAGTCGATCTTTGGGTTGTACTGTCGCAGCCAATCCCGTCCCAGTAGCACGTCGCAACCGTCGAATGTAGTCGCTAGCAGCCCCATCCGAAATTTTACTTGCTCCCCGCAATGAAAACTGACGTTCTCAACTCGCTCTTGTATAGCAGCGGTGTTCCATCCACTAGGCGGGCATCAATTTCGGGTAGACACTTGAGCAAGGGAATACCCAATTTTTTAGCCTTGTCCAGCTGTATGAGACTGTGACTCGCGCCTCCATCCACGAATATTTTCAGCAACACCCCGTTGACTTTACCGTCCACCAACACAGGGTGATCATCAGTTTCGTCCCCCTTATTCGTCCGAGTCCGGTCGATTGCAGCAATCGGGATCACGACCCGGTGGGGACTGTGTGGCTCGGGCGAAGAAGCCTGCCCGTCAGTAAGGGGCCGGTACTTACTGACGCGACCCATTTTCTGGTCGCTTCTCCGGCTTCTTCCCCATAGAATTCTAGATGGCTATGAATTCTTGGCAGTTGCGTCGGATGTGACCCGGTCGGCCACAGTGGTAGCATAGCCCCGTGTTTCGCGGAGCAATTGCGTAAATATCCACTGCATCCATCCCTTTTATCGTGGCACGCTGGTACTGTTCTCGAGGGCGACCTCCGTCGTAGAATTTCGTCCTCGGCTTCGTGAGCGAATCAGCAGCTTCGGCGAGTTGGATAAAGTCTTGTAACCGCTTTGCTGGGCGTTGCAGTTTTATCTGGTACTGTATTTCATGCTTCAGCCCTCCCATGTACCTGTCGACCTTCTCCAAATCGTGCATGTAGCCACATCGGTTCACCAACGTCAAGAATGACGCGGTGTATTCCGACACAGATCCCAGCTGCTTCCACATGCGTAGAGTCTCGCGCGCTTTGTCTGAGTCGGGAGCATGCTCAAACCGCTTGCAAAGCTCTGCGCACCACGTTGCCCACGTGCGAATGTGGGTTGCACCAAACAGCAAATCTGTCTCGTCTTCGTCGCCGAATTCTTCGGACCACTCGTGCTGTCCTTCTGTGCGAGTTGCCGCTGAGTCGACGATGACCTTCCACCATTGTAGGGCGGCCCCTTGCAGTAGTGTTAACGCGTGGCTGATCCGCTTCTGATCGTCTTGGATGCCCGCCACGTTAAAGTAGATATTCATTGCGAATATCCACTGCCGCACCGTCACGCCTTTATTAGCTGGGTCGAAAGGAGCGGGTTGCTGATATCTCACGTTGCCACTTATCGAGCGCGGGGCTGTTGCCGCTAGTCGTGCCAGTTCTACTGACGACGGTTGCTGCTCACCCGCCTCGCTTCGTGCATCGTCGCCCGGCTCCTCTGAACGCCTTTCCTGCACCTGGCGAAGTCGTTGGTTCTCATCGCGGAAGTTGTTGACGACGCTTGTCAAATTAATCAACTGCTCCATTAATGCTTGCAGGTCCACAGTTTCCCGGGCAGAGTTCGCAGCAGTCGAGGTCGTCTGTTTCTCAACCGTCGAGTCTACCGGGGCCATGGCGGTCAGGACGGGGCAGAAACTAGCGCACACGCTGTACTTGTTGACGTAAAAATATTTACGATCGAAGACAACTGCTGTGCACAGGCCTGTCGTTATCAGGGTATTTTACCCTGATTCCCTGATTTCATAGGGTTTTTTTTTTTGCCAACCCTTAATTTTCAGGGTTGGGCTTTTTTTAACCCTAACCTCTTCAGGGTTGTATGTCTGTGAACACTTAGAATTTCATGGTTTGCGTTATCCCAAAACTGAGTTTTCATGTGTAACGTGTACGAACCCAGAGTGCGACATCCATGTGGCTCACAATGCGGAAATTTAGGCGAAGTCCCCAATCTCCAGAGACATTCCCCCCCACACGCAACAACCTACAAAAATTGGTGAAGTCCTCAAACATTCCCGCACACACCAAGCAACCCAAAAAAAATCGGCATGCTAAGTCATGTGTCGTAGTGACATCCCCCCTACACACCTAACAACAACCCACAAAAATTAGCTAAGTCTTGATAGGCAGTGACAGCACAAAAAAAAAATGGCTTAGTCCTATTGTACACAAGTTATCCCCCCTCCTACACTCCCACAACCCATAAAAAAGGCCAACGGTCAAGTCATAGAAGGGTACTAGCGACAATGCTCCCTTCTTAAGGAAAGTTTTTTTATTGCCCGTGTGGTCAACTGAAAGTCCATCAAACTTTGACGTCCACGATCAATCGCGATCGTTTCGACAAATTTCAGCCGTTAGATGATCGCGTACGATTAACGTCCTCGATTTGCCCATGGCGCTGCAAGCGCGAGAGGTTTCTGTCACTGCCCCATTTGCCTCGATCCCCACCCCTCCATCCGTTTCGCTTCCCCTTATCAAAAGAAACTGAATAATAGCATAGAGGGAGAGAACACGGGTATATACCTAAGAGTGTTGTACCCTCTAAGAGGTGACCCTATACAGTCTATACAAATATGAGTTCTACTTATATTTGACACACCCCCTAGACTGCATAGGGGCAAATCCTGAACAAGAAGCTCAGGGCGGCACTACTAGTCCAGCCACTGAGACAAGGGTCTAAAGACCAGTCAAAAGGAGTACAGGCAAGACAAGAACAAGACCAGGGCGGCACTACTAGTCCGGCCACTGGGAAAGGACACAAGTCCAGTCTGAGTACATATATATAGATATATTAGGACAGTACAAAGTCAAGGTCCTAGCAAGTGAGAGGCTACAGGAACTAGACCGAGCTGTACACAGTGCCGCTGATGATCTTTAGGCGCAAGCGCCTTCGTAAAGATATCAGCTGTGTTGGCACCAGAGGCCAAGTGAACTACGCGGGCCTGGCGACGCTGCTGTAGCTCGCGCAGGAGGAAGTACCGCAGCTGAATGTGCTTCGCTCTGCCCTCAAGTCGAGGCTCCTGACACAGGAGTATCATGGCCCTGTTGTCAGCGTACAGGACCGGGGCAGAGCTAGGCCGCTCACCTAAGTCTGTGAGCAAGAATCAGCCAGCGGAGCTCCTGTGCCGCCATGGCACCAGCGTAGATCTCAGCCTCACAGCTGACTGAGCAACAGACGACGAGCGAGTGGATCTCCAAGAGATAGCACCCGAACCAAGGCTAAACAGTAGCCCTGCGACGACCTGAGCGTCTCAGAGTCGTCTGCCCAAGAAGCGTCTGTGTGCCCAGTAGGACCACTGGCCTGCGTCCTCCTAGCACTAACCCCATGCCTGATGTACTTGCAGATAACGCAAAACCCTCTTAGCGGCAGACCAGTGCTGTGGTCGGTGTCTGCCGTGCCACAAAGCGAGCCAGGATGCTGAGAGGGTATGCGAGATCTGGGCGAGTGCAAGTCATCAGGTACATGAGGCAACCCACCAGCTCTGCGTAGGGGCCACTGGGCTCTACTGGCTCCTCAGGAACGGAGCGGAAAGCCCTGGTCTACAGGTAGAGGTGTGGGCTGTGCAGGAGGAGAACTGAAGACCGAACCTCTGAAGGACCTGACGCACCAAGTGTGACTGGGTCAGAGTGATGGTGCGTGCTGCTCTGTCCCTAGAGATCTGCAGGCCAAGATAGCGACGCAGCTCTCCAAGGTCAGTGCAGGTGTGTCTCTTCAGCAGCTCAGCCTTCACAGAGGCCAGTGCGTCCCTGTCAGGAGTAGCGAAGACCAGGTCGTCTACGTAGACAAGGATGTAGAACGGAGTCTGGCCGGAACGCACAAACAGTGAAGGGTCAGCAGAGGACGGAAAGAACTGCAGGTCTGCTAACGTGGCACGTAGCGTGTCGTGCCACTCGCGGGGAGCCTGACGCAGGCCGTAGACGGCGCGGCGCTGAGAAGCCACTGGGTCCCAGGAGGGAAGGTACCAGTGAAGCCCTGTGGTCGGCGCAGGTAGACCTGCTCGTGTAGGCTGCCCTGAAGAAAGGCAGTAGAGAAGTCGAGGGAGTGAAGCTCGTAGTCACGCTGTGCTGCTACGTGTAGCAGCGCCCGAAGAGTGGTCATCTTCGGGGTCGGGGCGAAGGTCTGGAAGAAGTCAACCCCCTCGCGCTGACTGAAACCTCTGGCCACGTAGCGCGCCTTGAAGACAGGCGGCTCTCCAGGGGGGCGCTTCACCTTGAAGAGCCACCGACCATCGACTACGTTCACCCCAGGCGGGGGAACTGCGTCGACGTAAGTGCCGGTGGACCTCCAAGATGCCATCTCCTGCTCCATGGCAGCTATCCACTGAGAGGCCCAAGGTCCCGAGGTGGCCTCAGCGTAGGTGCGAGGGGTCGGGATGTCGAAGGCGTCTGGGTCACCCTCAGGGACTAACAGCATGGAGCAGAGATGGGGAGCAGCCTCGGAAAGGAAAGCCAGCTCGTACTGCCTGTCCTCTAGGACGTCACTGCCAAGGGCAGGAGCACCCCCGACGGACAGAGGACGGGCAGGGTCAGAGACCAGAGCGGTAGCGTAGTCAAGGCGGCGGGTAGAGGCGAAGTCAGCGACAGCAGCGACAAGCGCGTCAAGGCGCGAGACAGGAACAGCAGGGTCGGTAACAAGAGAGGCAAGGACCCGAGGGACAAGGGGACGAGCAGCACGGAGGTAGTCAGAGAACGGAGGAGGTGCAACAGCAAGGGACGAGGGAGGAGGGGACGGGAGGAGGGAGGACGAGACGAGCGGGAACGGAGCAACATAGGGTGGGTGGGCAGGACAGGAGAGACGGGACGAGCACGGGAGGGACGGCGAGCCCAAACGTGAGACGGAGGGGTAGGGTCAGGGGACAGCGGAGGAGACACAGGAGGGGAACGAGGAGGAAGACGGGCCGGAGACGAGTCCGGCGGCGGGAACACAGGACCGTAGACAGGAAGGTCAGCGGGGGTGGGGGAGACACCGGCCGCGGTCCGGGGAGGGAAGGCCGAGCAGGCGGAGAGCGGAACCGGCGGCGACGGCTGCTGCGGCGGCGACGG